GGCCAGCCTGTCTGCTGGGAACAGCCCAGAGAAGGCAGGCGGCTGTGCAGCCTGGCAATGCCCCTGCAGGAAGGAGGGGAACGTGGGTTTCCAAGGGGGCCCTGGCTAGGGGGCTGGGGCCCGAGTGCGCCGGCCTTGCTGGCCCCCTGAGGGGAATTACAGGCGCAGGGGCCCTGGCGTGTGGCACAGTCACCAAGAGCCCAATCCGCTCCCCTGCAGCAATGTCAGCCCCCGAACCCAGGGGTGGCTGCAGCTGCACCCACCCAGCCGGCCTGGAGTAACCAGCACGCGCACGTCCCGGCTTGGCCTCCCTCTGCCTGCTCTCCCTGCGGTGCCTCGCGGCCTGGCCTGGGAGCACATCTGGGCAGGGCCGGCGCTGCGGGGGCTGCTCCCATTCCAGAGCCCAAGGAGCAGGCTGCCCTCCAGGGTCACCCCGCTGCATGGGGCCCTTTTCCTCCCCCAGGCCTCCTGCCAGCCTCCCCGGGACAGCACCGCAGGGCCACTGGCTGCGATGGGGAGGAGCACACCGGCCTGCCAGGACCCAGCGTCACCAGCCTGGCCCAGAGCCCCCGGCAGTACAGGCCGGGACAGTGGGAGCTGGGGCAACCCGCCACTGCATGAGCGCCTCCCGCGTCCAGCCAGGCCCAGGACCCAGTGGCTGGGTCTCGGCTTAGCGCCTGGCTCTCCAGCTGCCCCCCAGCAGTACGGGGGCTGCCCGCTGCCTGCCCCCAGGCTCCCCGCTGGAGCCAGGCCCCACCGAGGCAGCGTGACTCAGTGTCACCCGACGCCGCTGACAGCTGCAGCCTCGGCCCGAGATAAAATTGGCTCTGGGATTCCACGGGGCCCACGTGCTGCTAAAATTAGCGCCCGCGCTCACCGCTGGGGCTGGGGCCGCGGCCGGAGCGGGCAGCGAGTGCAGACAGGCAGGGGAGCGGCTCTGGGGCAGACGGACGCAGGGAGCCAGAGGCCCAGACGGGGCGAGCGCAGGCCAGGGCCAGGCAGCCCAAGGGGAGGCCGGGGCAGAGCGTGGGAGCAGGCGTGGGGCACAGGGCAGGGCCGCGGGGATGAACTTTGCGGTGGGATTCAAGCCCATGCTGGGGGACTCGCACAGCATGGACAGCCTGGAGAAGCAGCTGATCTGCCCCATCTGCCTGGAGATGTTCAGCAAGCCCGTGGTCATCCTGCCCTGCCAGCACAACCTGTGCCGCAAGTGTGCCAACGACATCTTCCAGGTGTGTGTGGAGAGACGGGCTACGGGGATGGGTGGCATTGGGGCTGGGAGCAGCACTGGGGGCTGCATGGGGGGCTTGGAGCGGCACTGGGGGATGGGGCTGGGGCTGCGTGGGGGGCCAGGCCCCCCGACACTCTCATCCACCCCGCAGAGCCTGGTCGGAGTCAGCGTCACATGTCCGGACCTGCAGTGGCCCCCAGCCTTGTCTCACCTCCATGCAGCCACCCCTCACGGCTGGTGAGGGGGGCTCTGTGGTTTTCCCCAGCCCCTGGCGCTCCCTGTGGCCTGCTCACAAGCCTGCGCGTCCCGTCTCCATCTCCAATAGTAACTGGCCTCTGCCCTGGGCTCCTGCCAAGTGCCCGTCTGGGGCTCCCAAGGGCACCCTGGGTACCCCGCCTCTGCAGCCCCTTCCAGAGACATTGGCACAGCTGATCTATTGGTGTGGGGCAGCCTCCATGGCCGTGAGTGCCCAGCGTGACCAGCAGGGTGGGGGGCGGGAGGGGCCTCTTGGGCACGGCAGGGTGGGCGCCAGGGGTCCCTGGGTCCTGCTTGGTGCCTGCTGCTTCTGCTCAGGTTGTGGGGGGCCCCTGCTTTGGGTGATTAGTGCAGCTTCCGGACTGGAGGGGTAAGGGGGCTGGGGTTGGGGGTGCTCCTCAGCTCCGGCCGGGGGGAGGTGGGAAGATCGGCCCAGGAATGGGCAGGTGGATCAGAATCAGGGTCCATCTAGCCCCACGTCCCCTCCCTGGTTGGACCAGCACCAGCTGCTGCAGCCTGCAGGGTCACTGCTCCAGTGAGGGGCCCAGGGGCCCGTGGGCTCGGTTCTGGTCCATGGGGTGCGCTGCCCTCTGGTCCGACGGCTGGCCCTGGACGTTGGCCCCGGCCCCTGCGACCCGCGTCTGAGCCCCCGACGTGCTCCCACATTCTCCACACGCTGCCAAGGCTGGGGGCTCCCTGGGCGGCCAGTTCGCCCCTGCGGGGTCACCGTGGCCGGGAGGCAGGGAACCGGCTCAGCTGCGGGATTTTTGAGCTGCCTGCGCAGCCCTCAAGAGTCACAGCTGCCGTCTCCCCCTGCGGCTGCGGCTCGGACGAGTGTCTGGTGAGCCTGCGCTCACAACGTGCCCCGTCCCTGTGCCATGTGCCCCCCGTGGCCAGAGCCCGCTGTCCCATGGGGGTAGTGCGAGTCAGCCGACCACCCCATCAGCGAGACTCTCCCCCACGGGCACTGGCTGCCCTGAGCAGCCCCCACTCCTGGGCCGAGGCCTGTTGCATTGATCTCAAGGTGTTTATTGACTCTGTCACTGTCCCACCTTAGAACAGCGACTCTCGGGTTTGGGGGGTTTCCAGAGCCCGTGGCTGGCTCAGTGTCACCGACTCACAGGTCGTGGCTCACTCGTGGCCCCGTGTGGTCCGTGGGGGGTGCCCCTTCCAGTGCGACAGCCCTTCTAGGGGGTCCACTCTCTCTCGGGGTCAGGCCCCTCCACCTCCTGGAGCTGCACCTCTCTGAGCCTTAGCACGTCTGTCTCTCGCCGTGGGCCCCCTCAGGGAGTCCACTCGCTCTGGACCCCCGGGGCCTCCACCCCCGAAGGGGTTGATGCCACCCTGTTCTCTAGCCCAGAGTGACTCTCAGCCAGCATAAAACAGGAGGGTTTATTGAGGGTTGAACCCAGCACAGGAAACTCTCAGGCCTGGCCTCCCTCAGCCCAGCACACCCCAGTCTCTCTGCACCCAGGTGGGCTCTGCCTGCTCCCCCTCTCCAGCCCAGAGCCCCCCTGCTTCCCAGCTGGGCATCTGAAATCCCCGGCCCCAGGCCCCGCCTCTGTCCATTGTCTTCTCTCCAGGGAAACAGGGTCCCCTGGGCCTCCTCTCCTCACTTCTGTCCTCTGGCCCCTCTGGCTGGAACCGGCTGGTCAGGTCACCCGGGTCCTCTGTCCTCAACCCATTGTCCTCCCACTGGCCAGAACCGACTGTGACTCCCGAACTGGGCCTCTGGGTCACCTGTCGCTGGGGTCTCCATCCTCCCGGCCATCGGCTGGGGTCCCAAGTTCCCTCTCCGGTCCCGTGTAACAACAAACTCCCTCTCCCCTCACCTCGTTAAACCAGGAACACCCGGGGAAACTGAGTCCCACCCCCTCTGCATGCAAACCATTGGAAAAACAAGGAAAAACCAAGAACCCCCCCAACTTCGTCACAACTCGGGTCCTTGGCAAACACCCTCCCGCCCCACTCCCCTCCCCATTCTTTCTGAGCCCGGCAGGTTCCTGCTCAAACAGGAACGAACAAGAAATTCAAACAAGCATTTGCACAGAAACGAAACTGAGCGATTGTGCAGCACAAACCTACGCGAAAGTCTCTCTGATTTGGCAGTAAAATACCTGCGTCTCCTTTTCATCGCTGAGCGGCCTTGGGGGGGACGGAAAGGGCTCCCTGGCCACAGTCCTGCTGTGTGAAGAGGGGTCACCAGCCAGACACACGGCGGAGGAGAGTGGAGAGGAAAGCTGGGGAAATGCAGCTTTGGAGCACGGGGCAGCTGGTTGGCCACGGACGGGGCTTTGGCTGGCAGGGCGCCCCTGGCCCCTGGTTCACACTCCGGGCTGGGACGTCACATGGCTGGGCCTTGTCTCCTCCGGCCGGCCGGGCTGTGGGCGGGGCTGGCAGGGCTGTGGGCGGGGCTGGCAGGGCTATGTTGGGGCTGGCGGGGCTA